ATTATCGTACCTATTAGTAATCCAAAAGACATACATTTTATTCGTAATCGATCCTCTAATAACTAGGCTTACCGTATTTTCTTTTTTTTTTTTTCCCTCAACGGAAGAATTTTGAGTAACAAATACTCGCGTAGAATATAAAACCGGAAAAAGCAACTACTAAGAAAAAAGGAAAATAAAGAAGGATTGAGAAGGCGAAATAAAGAAGTTATTAACAAAAAACAACAATGAGTTAAAATAAATTCTCAAATATATATCATAATATATATCATTAGTAACTCAAATATATTATTTATTAGTATTTCTCATTTAGTATCTAGTGTTTTAATCATTAGTGTGAATTTTGTTTAAAAATTATTTGTTATTTTTAACAGTATCGAAAAATCCACATCAATTTAGTTGGCTACTAATTTTGCAGTTTAGTACAGATTTTACTGTCGATTCAGCCAGTTTACCTCTTTCTTCAAACCATTTTTTTATTTGATGCTTATAATTGACAATATTCTTTTGATTGTTTCCAGTGTGTCTCGCATTGCTTGAAAATGTACTCTATCATTTAAATGGCACCGTGCAATGAAATGTGTTTTTATTTGAAATGACTGAAATTTTGTATCCCATTTTTTCACAATTTTTATTTTTCTAAATTTCATAATTAGCTGACCAAAGCTTTTGAAATCATTAATTCATCAAAAACTTGATTCATATTTATTGTATAATTTGTGACAGTTTAATACATTTTTTCATTTGAAGCTTCAATTTCAGACCATTTTAATTTAGTGTTGTAAAATTAAAATAAAAATTCCACCCCACCAAAACGGTTTTCCCATAGCTCAGTATAGAAAAGACATCAATCAAAAAAGTTGTAAATTTATGGTAGTGGTAATTTATGGTTGTAAATTATGGTACGGTTGTATTGATATTAATACTTTCATCATTTTCTAATATAAATCTTATTTTTCAGGTGCGTTATTTTTTCCATGCTTTGTGCGTTCATGTGCACGAAGCAGGTTTAGTTTTGAAAAAACTTCCTCACAATCATCACATGCAAATTTTCGAGCAGTTCTTAACGTAGGGGCTAACTCCTCTAATTTCGAAGGATGGCACTTAATAACATGCGCCCGTAATTTTCGTCGGAATGAATAGGACTTCGAACATTCTAAACATAGCAAATTTCTTCCATAATAATCACACTAAAAGACACAAGTCAGGGTTAATTTCGTAGCGTGACAATATTTAGCAGAACAACATATCTTTGCTCGCCGATCTTATGATACATCGCCAATAGTGTATAGCAGATGCCAGCCTATTACGCTAGCGAAGCATGTTACTGCTCATGCGTGAAGCGTAAGCCCTGAGGAATGGAGACGCTACTAATTATTCCCCAATTACGAAACCAAACGCAATTCCACAACACATGATTCCATCCTAACGCGTATGAAGCACTTAATATCAAGCTGGAATGTGAAATAGAAGTCTTCAACAATAGTCTACTAACTCCAATGCAAAGTTTCAGTAGTAAACTGACGGTCCAGGCCATGATAATGGAATTGGCTGGGTCGTTGTTCAGTACATTGATGGACAAAAATTCCACATATGAAAAGTACAACTTTCACCCAAGAATAGCATCTTCCAGGCTGAAGCGCGTTTACTAGCTGTGGCAAAAATTTATGCAGTAAACAGTAGACACTACACCGTCAGTTTCTATAGCGACAGCCTCTCAGTGCTTCATGCCACCCTAAATCCCATCGACAGTTCTCATATCATCAGGAATATTCAAAAGGACTCAAGGCGCTTCAGATACTTTAATTTCCACCTTCACTGGATAAAGGTACATGTCAGGAAGTAGATTCACTGGCAGCTCGCATCATCATAGCGAATTCGTAACTTCTGCCTCTGCCAGACTTTCACCTCAAAAGATTCGTCCATCATTTTGTTAAAACAAACTGACAAGACGCATGAGACCATTTATCACTCGCTAATTTGTGGCGCCTTTCTATTCTTTCCTAAAGTCAGCAACAAGTGACGTACTTCCACTGTTCAGCTAACACGCTACATTACAAATCACGGCCCATTCCCAGTCTAACTTCTTAAGCATTGTTTAAAATAATTAGATGGCATCTGCGGTAGGACGGGAGAGTCCGAACATTACCCGACGTGCTGCTCACTGATATCCAGCGACCATCTCTGATTTCCAGATAACACAGATGACAGAGTCCCGTACCAATGCTATATCATTAATTTGCACCAAGTATAATTTGGCAAGATATCGCCAAGCTGGAGTCGGTTTTGGCGACTAATTTTTATCGCTAACTGTCGACAAACTTGGCGACATTTTAGTCCGGTCTTTGTACAGCTATAAAAAAATTGTAATTGTATAAATATAGCTGATGCTCTAAATATCTGTAACCGTAGTTCGGTTCCCATACGCCTTCCAGTAATTTCGTGAAGCAGAAAGTACTAGAAATATCTCAGCGCCCAGGTAAAAACGATATAAGACCGACCAGAGCATCAGTTCCTCAGTTGTTAGTTCAGCGTGAATATGGAGCACTAAGAAATTTCCAGATTAGCTTCTTTCTTTATATGCGCTTTGCACTGCGTTGTGTGTAACGTTCTTAGTAGTTTGAAGTGTAACTGCTGATTGTACTCTGGGATACTTTGAAGAAATAAATTTTATCAAGATAGCATCGTTTCTGTATACATTGAATCTTTACGAACCCGTACGCACGCAACATTATAATTTTTTATGCAAAGTCCTGAAAATATTGACAGCTTATTTAAAATTTTTTTTCAAACAGTTTACATATGCGTAAGTTTCTCTTATAAGTTCATTCGCGATGGAATCCCTCCTTTAAGAAGGTAGCCCTCGTAAGCTTTGGCATATTCAAACAAACAAGCAAAACTTTACTGAACATCAGTTTCTCCATTTTTTTCTTTTCGCTGTATTCTTTCTAGGTGACTGTGTATGAGTTAAAAATTAAGAAAAGTCACTGGTTGTGTTTTTTAAATTAGTGCTTTATTCATTACTCAGTTGAGAAATGCTTTACGTTACTGTACTTGCAAACACCAATACGAGTCTTGCTTTCGATTTCAGTTTGCTTCTGTTAAAACCAGTTATTAATTATAAATAGGGAAGAAGATGGAAAACCAATTGGTTTTCTGTCCGAAGAAAGAATGCTCAATTGCATCGTACAATGGTAGAAATAAATGCGTTCGTAATAAAGAGTTCAGGAAATATGAACTAATTTTTTATACCTATATGTAACTTATATTTATCACATAAAAATGTGAAACTCATTTTTACTTGAGACATTTCATCTGATGAAATTCTCTTTCGCTATTTGTAAAATGAAGTAAATTCTGCGGCTCCTTGAAAAAAATTGAGTGTCGGCTCTCGAAATTTTCAGAACCCTAATATGTGGCTCTTTTGGCCATGCCTGCTATGCAGTATCCTTGTTACCGTGAAAGACCGAAATTGGAGAATGTCGACTTTCACCGGAGAATATCAACATTCACCAAAAAAGTCGGTGAAAGACTGAATATTTCACTACATTCTTGTATATTCGGACCCTCACCGGTGTATGTCGACAATCACAGATATGCTCTGGTGAAAGTCGAAAAGAGAGGTCATAAAAGCCCCGTAATAGTTTAAGTTGTTGCAATAAATAAGATTTGAATCACATAATTTAGTAAGTTTCTTATCACTGTTATTTTATTTTCTCATTTAGAACGTACTGTATAATTAAGTAAATTTTTAACTTCTATTATTTTCCTTTCTGATTTTGAATGTATTGTGTGTTTTAGGTTCTCATGTTCTTATTTCAAGTCTCAAGTGCGTTTATTCGCGACTGAATTATGAGAAAAAGAAAATATAATATTGTTATATGTTCAACATTCACCATTAGTACATGGTGAATGTCGACATTGACCGGTGTAAGTCAGAAATAAGAGTATTTGGAAAATATTTCGGACATACACCAAGAGACTAAGTGAATGTTGACATTCACCGGTGAAAGTCGACATTCTCCAGATTTCGGTGTTTCACCGACCCATCCTATAATTAGCCATTGGAAATGGATAATAGGAAAAAGAGAATAAGGTAACATTCGACCGTTGCAAAAAGATGAACAGCCTCGGTTAGAATTCTGACAGATTTAATCAACGGCGTTAAAATACCCCTACAAAGAATACCTATTTGAAAGTTTCTAGGAACCGATATAAGGTCAATGTTTTGAGGAAACAACCAAAACCTCCTGAATCTTAAAGTCATTTTTTCATCATTTTTTCATGTATCTGTTACCGTGAAAGACCGAAATTGGAGAATGTCGACATTCACCGGAGAATGTCAAGATTCACCAAATACGTCGGTGAAAGATCAAATATTTCTTTACATTCTTGTACATTCAGATCCTCACCGGTGCATGTCGACAATCACAGATATGCTCTGGTGTAGGTCGAAAAGAGAGGAGTATATGTATACGCTGCCATTCCAAAAGGAAGTGTTCCACAAATAAATGCAGTTGTGAAAGCGAGGGCCTCTTGTGCGATTCAAAGTGTCATAATAGTTTAAGTTGTTGCAATAAATAAGATTTGAATCACATAATTTGGTAAGTTTATAACTTTTATTATTTTCCTTTCTCATTTTGAATGTACTGTGTGTTTTAAGTTCTTATATTCTTAAGTTCTTATTCCGAGTTTCAAGTGCGTTTTTTCGCGAATGAATTACGAAGAAGGAAATATAATATTCTTATATGTTCAACATTGACCGGTGTAAGTCAGAAATAAGAGTATTTGGAAAATATTTCGGACGTACACCAAGAGACTATGTGAATGTTGACATTCACCGGTGAAGCTCGACATTCTCCAGATTTCGGTGTTTCACCGTAACATATCTATGATAATATGTGTTACATTTTGCTCTTTCATACTGATAGTGAATGTATACGTATTCAAATTTTAAATATTTTAAAAGATTAACATATTTCCCTTTTCCAATTTTCTAGCTACGTCGCTTTCATCACACCTTATTCAGGGACGAATCTGCGAGAGAGATAAACTTTATGACTTCTTTATTTGGACATTTACGGATGTTTAATGTCGTTTAATAACGATTGTTTACAGTATACTAATTTTGTGATTCAAATATTCTTATTGTTTTGATGTGATAAAGGAATCATTATCACAATTTATAAATTCTGTACGTTTATTTTCTTATTATGTATAAAGTTACTGAATTCAAAATTTATCTTATATTTTTGCAGAATTAATAAAACAGATTTCTAAGCAGTGTTTTCTTTTTTTGTGTTTTCACAATATAATTATATCGTAGTTTAGTGTTCTGGTTGTTTTACTTTTTTTACGCAATAACAGTGAAACTTTAAATTCTGGAACAGCCTTGGATTTTAAGTTTCAATTGGTCTTCACATCTCTAATGAAGGACCACCTAACGTAACCGACCTTGTTCAAAAGGCCGATTTCGTCTAAAAATATCATATTGTTTTATTTCTCATTTTAAAGGCTGGATTCTTACCTACCCAAAACAACTTTCCTTATTTTAATATATTTATTAGAAGTGGAAATATATCAGTTTTTCTGAGAGAGGAAAAACCGAAAGTTATTGCTTGCAACTGCAGAAGTGAAATTTTAAAAGGAATATTAAAAATGCAATTTCGCCCTTTTTTACTTCCTTGTACGAAGTACAAAGGAAGTATTGTAATCGCAAAAAATTTCGGGTATCATATTTCAACGAAAATATCCAATTTGACGGCTATCGAATGCAATTTAACGATGTTTTTGTGCGACAACTGTACGTAACGACAGAAAACATAACTTTTTCTCCCCAAACGAATTATGAAACTTATTTAAAACGGATTCAGCAGAATATCTATGTACATATCTCGCAGAATTCAAAAACAAGTAGCCCCAGAACGTTGAAATTTTGTATATAGAGGACTGTTATACCATGTAGTTGTGCTCTTCCTTTTTTGGTTGCAATAGGACACACCAAATATATATATATATATATATCCCATTCTGTTACTCCTCAGTGATCTCATTTTCTTTGTTCTTATATGTTTGTAAATTGTGCATTTTTTGTTTTAAAAATGATTGAATTATGTTGTTCTTATCTTCCGGTTAAGGTTTCTCATGCCTTTAGTAAATCTGTATGCATTACTTTCAGAATTGGAAGCCATGTTTGTTTACATTTGAAATAGCAGAATAGTAGATCTGTTGCCAATCTAGAGAAAGTAATAATAAACAAAGATTACGTCTTCTTTTAATATTGCGAATTAAATCATGCTTAATCCATTCTAAAATTTATTCGAGGAAATAAGTGTTTAAGTTTACTTCATAATTTTCAATACAATATTTGTTTTTTATGTATTTTTGCCTTTTCGCGAAGTGACTGAAATAATGAATGAGAATACTGAATGTCTGGGAAAAATGTTTGTATATTGTATTTTTCTTTTATACATTGTTTTACATTTATTATAGTATTTGAATAGAATATGTGGCAACGATTAGATAATTTTTATGATGATATAAATTTTGTGCATTCTGAGTTAAAAAGTGAATGAAATGTAACGCTGTGACGCGAACTTAGGATCAGAGTGTCGCTATTGTAAACAAATATAGCGAATTTTAAAGAGTGCATTTATTCTATTGTATTTTATGCACTATTGACGAAATAAATTTAATTCAATCCGGTAAGTTTAAATTAAATGCAAGAGAAATGCGTATAATTTAACATTCCGTACAAAGAAGTCATGTAGTATACACATCAGAGTTTTATATTATTCGTTAACTAAATAATTTTAAGCATTTCAATTAGTCTGGAGAATCTGGTAAAGTATTTTTATTATGAATTTTCTCATTTTCATTTGGCAGCGTGAATAATTATGTTTAAATCTCATGTAATGTTAATCTGAGAGTCTTTAATGCGTTTTCTGTTAAATCATTTTTTATTATTTACGTTCACAGCAATCCTGATAATTCTAAAAGTACCTTATAGAATCACTTAAAATTTTGCACACAGAGTTTGTATATTATTATGCATGTTGTAGACTAGTCTTATAGATTTTAAATTATACAATTTTTTCTTCAGTAGTGTATGATTTTTATTTTTTTATTTTTTGTTTGTTGACCAACATACATTACTAGTGAATCAATATTTTCCATTTATCCTTTACTAGTGAATCAATATTTTCCATTTATCCTTCTCAATATTTTCCATTTATCCTTCTTCACTATATGCTTATGGTTAATATACATAAATAAAATCAAAAATATGTTTTTATCATCATCTGGTCAGCGACGTTTTTGTTAATTTCAATGTAAAATTTTCAGTTTTTTTTTGCATAAATTTCACAAAATAATGAAATTTTTATCACTTTTATAGTGATCACACTTGTGAGGACAATCAAATAAAAAATATCGAAATTCAGAAATACAACAGACATTTTGAAAAAAGGCCCTTTGAACGAGGTCGGTTACCTTAATTACAGTTCATGGGTTAGGTTGGAGAATCTTTCGTAGTAAACGCAGCATCATCAAAAATGGACAGTAAAATTACACAATAAATATTTAAGCAATTATTAATTTAAATTGCGGTGTTTAAGCACAAATTTGCATTTTAATAGTGGTATAATGGAACATTATTTTACAGCAAACAAAAAATAAAATATTGAAACCTTTTTTGGTACTTTTCCGTTTCGCCGGCGCAAATCTCGCCAAGCAGACTTTGTTGGCTACAACATACAGTATACACATAAAAAATGTTAATTCTAAGAATTTTTTTTTTATTGTGAAGGCATAAACATTTTATATATGGTTTAAAATTTTGTTAAAAAGCCAATAAATAAAGACCATAAATTTGTAAAAGACATTAATTTAAGAATTTACTATGATTCATAGGTTCAAAATCCTGGATTCGCCGATTCGTTATCACGTGCCCCCAAGTGATCTCATCTCACGTAAACTACGCTACTAAAATTTAATTCGCTCAGTAATTATCTACATAATTTTAAGTAAATCTTAATTTGGAATACAAGTTAAATGCAAGAATTATTTCAATTCGTACAACTAGCTACTCAGAAATTAGTAAAACCGCAGTGCTTTACTTCGCTAGTCATATTGATGAATTTAAACTTGATTCACCTTGGATGAGCGGTGTAATTGCGTTCTAATTGACTTAATTACCGTGGATTGTCTTAGGGGATAAAATTTAAATATCGTGTAAAATTCTATTTATTGTATGCCAGTATGAAAGAAACAATCTGATAAGAAATGGCTTCAAACTTGTTTGAAACTGAGGGTAAAAGGTTACCACGAAGATTCCGTCGGCATCAGTTAAACCATTTTGGCGACTTTATCGTTTGCGCCGGCAAAACGGAAAAGTACCCCCCCTTTTTTTTTTTTTTTTTTTTTTTAATTACGTTCTAAAATTAAGTAATGTGAGATCTGGTTTCCTTCTCTCCTTTAAGTACACTTATGTCCATAAATTAAGGATAATTCGGAGTCACGCAGAAATCGAACTCTAAAATAAATATATCACCTGTAAAATCACTACACACATCTTCAAGAATCATATACAAATTTCAAGAAGTAACCAGATGACACCGATGGTACGTTACAATGACGAGTGTGTAAGAGAGTGATATATAAGGAATACAGGCAAAGAAGTAAAATTGTTCGCAGGCGCTTTATAAGCATTTTAGTGCAATAATAAGATTTCCGGTCTATTATTTTATGACCACTCACGTATTTTTTTAAAATTTATTACCTAAATCCTTAAGATCTGCAACAGAACTCTGTTTCTTCATTCATAACTTTTAGTTCATCAGAATAAATTCTTTTATGTTCTAAAAGATCTTCTGAGATGTCTACAGAAAACTTTCGTATTATCAATTTTACTTATAATACTTTTAATAATCTTAGTGACTGAAGCACCTTTCAGAGACTAAAGATCTAGTGCTAGCACGTTTCTTTTTTAAGTTATTCAAAACTTCGTGAGGCATATTAATGGTTATATGTAAGTTCAGTTCTAATAAAATCTAATCAGAACTCTTCTTTATTATAGTATATATCTATATGATAAAGACCATCCTGGCAGCGATGCCAGACATGTCGTGATTCCACCGAACTAACAAACAAAACAAATCTTCAGAGTGAAGTATCTAAACTTATACGTAAGCAAAAAAAAAAAAAAAAAAAAAAAAAAAAAAAAAAAAAAAAAAAACTAACCTGTATTGACCAGAGGAGGAATTTTTCAATTCCTGCTTGAATTTTATCTGATACAGAGCTGGTATTTTGGAAGGTATGAAGAAATTCGTTGATTTTCGTGAAGATTTCCTTGAGGAGTTCAAATACATTTTTCTCCTTTGCTTGACATTTTTGTAAGAATGTGTGGTTGGCTTCGAAATTTTTTGGTTCCCTTTTCCATGGCAGGATGCTAGTCAAATAATTTGTCATTAGTTGGGGCTGATTTCTTTTTTTGCGCCCGAGCCTTGGAATTCATCATTCTTGCTGATAAATTGATAAACCGAGTTGCCACTTATGGAGGTATTTGGTATAAAACTATTTTCTTTTGGTTTACATGTCTCCTTATCTCTTTTAGCTTTAGTAAGATATGTAATATTATAGAGCAACCTTTTCAAGTATGTCCAAATATGTGAACCTGTGCAATAAGCTCATTTACCATCCCCATTTTCGTTTCCATGGCCACATGTATACATTGCATGAGGTCCAGCGCATCTCGTACCCGTGTAATTGGTTTTGCAAAGAGCCTGGCCGTGACAGAAATGTCGGCATCAGTGGCACAGCGTACTTTGAAACTTTGGTTGTATACTGATCGGCAATAGGAGAACAGTTTTCGTATTCTTACGAGTTCCATAGAGAATCCCTTGTAGGGCCTGGCGATTGTAGAATCCTACGCCGTACTCTCTATAAATGAGGTAGATATCATATAGAAAGAGAGAGAAACTGAAGCACTTTGGATCGATGATGAAAATGCCAAGACTAGGAATGTCGGAGAAAGGAGGCCAGATCCAGAGAGCTTGCTTGCTGGTCACATGGTACGACGCATCCGAAACATGTGTGGTGAAGCTTGCCAAACACTTCGTGAAATATAGTGCCACCGCGTTGGTCCAGAAAGCATCTTTTATGGTTCCATATGAACTGGCACGTCAAAAACGGGGGATAACTTCTAAACCAGAGGTGGGTAAAAGCCACCACGCGGGGCAAATGCGGGTCTGCTTATTGCTTAATCCAGCCTATTATGAAATTTTGTG